ATGCAAGGCAAGCACTCTACCACTGAGCCACCTTCCCAGCCTCCCTTTTCCTTCCTTCCTTCCTTCCTTCCTTCCTTCCTTCCTTCCTTCCTTCTTTCTTTCTTTCTCCTTCCTTCCTCCCTTCCTTTCCCCCTCCCTCCCTCCCTCTCTCCCTCCCTCCTTCCTTCCTCCCTTCCTTTCTTTCCTTTCCTTTACCAGTCCTGGTGCTTGAACTCAGGGCCTGGGCACTGTCCCTGAGGCTAACACTTCTACTTTAGACACTTCTGGCTTAAAAAAAAAAAAAAAAACTAATGGCAATACGAGTTTCACAGACTTTCCTGCCCCAACTGCTTTGAACAACAATTCTCAGATCTCAGCTTCCTGAGTAGTTAGGATTACAGTAATGAGTAATCTAGGAGAAGAAAACACCTGGCTCTCCAAAGGTATTCTATTCTCTTAGAATTCTCCTTGTTATCATCCATTAAATTGAGTGGATATTTGAGATGTATAGTAGGTTCAGTAGTATGAAACCAAAAATGTTCCAATTAACAAGAGCTGAGGTCTTGAAAGAAAAATGATATTGTGCATATTACTTCATATTACATATGAACTTCCAAGCATAGAGTTTATGAAAAGTGGCTATAATTCCAGGCATGGTAGCACATGGTAGCAATCCCACCTGCTTAGGAGGGAGGGAGAATGAAATCTTAAGTTTTCCCTAGGCAGAAGCTGTAGACTGTACCTATTAAAACAGTGAAGAGAAACTAAATGCCCAAAAGGGCTGAGGGTGTGGCTCAAATACTAGAGCATTCATGCAATTGCCCTGACTTTTAAAGCCTAGTACCACCAATAAAACAAAATCCAAACTAAAAAAAGATGAATCATACAACATAATTATGGAGATAAAAAAATAAAACAAGATATGTGAGACAGTAGTAAGGCTAGGGTGGCCAAAACAGACTGGAGAAGGTATTAAATGGGCATCAACTTAGAGATGATTATCAGCAAATATAGAGTTGTTACTGCTGGTTGGTGGAATTATGTATCCTTTCTCATATGTTTCTGTATTTTCCATATATATATATATATATATATATATATATATATATATATATATATATATATATATATATATTACATACCTGCTTTTGTTTTTGTAGGTCATGAGATTTGAACTCAGGGTTTAGGCTCTGTCCCTGAGCTTTTTTGCTCAAGGCTAGTACCACTTCGAGCCACAGATTCACTTCTGGATTTTTGAGGGTTTTTGTCTTGTTTTGGTTTTTGTCAGTTGTGGGGCCTGAACTCTGGACCTGGGTGCTGTCCCTCAGCTCTTCAGCTCAAGGCTAGCACTCTACCACTTGAGCCACAGCGCCACTTCCAGCTTTTTCTGCTTATGTGGTGCAGAGGAATCAAATCCATGGCTTCATGCATGCAAGGCAAGCAGTCTACCACTGAGCCACCTTCCTAGCCCTGAGGTTTTTTTTCTTTTTGTTATAGTTGTTCTTTTGGGGGGTTTTGGTAATTAATTGGAGACAATAGTCTTGGGAACTCTCCTGCCCTGGCTGGCTTCAAATTGCAATTCTCAGGTCTCAGCCACCAGAGTAGCTAGGATTACAGGTGTGAGCTACCAACACCCAGCCATACTTGTTTGTAAAATTAGAAAAAGTTGAAAAAAATATTGTTTTGTTTTTAGAAGTAGCTCTGTTGGTAGAGTGCTAGCCAGTGAGTAAAATTATCAAGTACCAAGTTCAAGTCCCAGTCTCAGACCTTAAAACAAAACAAAATGTGCAGTTGGCCTCCATTTTCTACAGAATGAAGTCTGAATTCCTCCTCCAAAGGCTTTCTCCACTTCCATCTACCCTATCTTCAATTCCTCAAGACTGTCTTTTCCAGTCAAAATGATACTTTGTGGCCTAGATTAGCCAAGAAGGTTTGTCAGATTCAATAAACAAAAGTACAGGACACTCAGTTAAATATGAATTCCAGATACATAATCAATAATGTAACACCTCAGACAGAAAGTTACATGAAATTCAAGTTTAGTTGAGCATCTTGTTCTCTGATAACCTACAAGTAATCTTCCTTCTCTCTTGGCTGGAATAGACATAACCATTCAGTTCAACCTGAGGGCAGGGAGCAGGGTGGGAAAGACAACCTGCCAATCAATTCCTCTATTGCAATAAGATAGTATACTTTTGGGAGGAGTCTTGGTTTAAAGGGCTCTTTCTTGACCTTGGCTCATCACTTTTTTGTAGTGGGAAATGTAGCTCATATTTGACTAGCATGTGCAAGGCCCTGAGTTCAGAAAAAGAAAAGAAACAATGCATTTTTGGTCAAAGGACTCTAATCTAGGAGTCAGGTAAATAGGTGAATTTCTCCCAGGAAGAGAAGGTCTAGTTTAATTATACATTAAAGTTTTCTGACAAATGGATCAAGAAAATGCAGTATATATACACACAATGGAATTTTACTCATCTATGATATTGTACCATTCATAAAGAAATGAAAAGACTTGGAAAAATCATATCACGTAAGCCAGACCCAGAGAAAGATTGCATGGATTCCCTCATTTGTGATAGCTAGAATGTGCTTATATATCTAGAAATACACACACGGGATTTACTGAAGTATAGCAGAGTCTATGGAGAGTTCAAATAGACTTTGACCTAGGTCAAAGCCCAACAAAACCAATGTGGGGAAATGGATACAGCTAAGGGAGGGGGTGGGGCCATGGGAGAGGGGGAGATGAATGAAGTGGGAAAGGGGAGGAGAATGCAGCCAAGAATTCATTGTATTTGCCACAAGACTAAGAACAGGGAAGGAGTGGCTCAAAGGGAATGATACTGATGAAGATGCGGTGTGTTCATAAAC